TTTTTTTTTTTTTTTTTTTTTTGCTGCTGGGCAACCGTGAACATACTGACAGTTACCATGGAGCAGCTGACGTAGTAAATCCCTGCCTCCTGTTACCTTGCTGAACTTCATGTGCCCCTGACCTTAACAGCATAACTAGATCCATGGAAGGGCTTATACTGCCATTCCATTTAGCCAATATACCTTTAATGACTGTTAAAACTAGCATAATTTTTTAGTCCAGGTCTGGCCTTTTCAGTTTAGGCCAACATTGGCTGGGATAGCCCTGCTGCAAGCAAGTCAAGCTCTAGTGGCAGACATGGCATATGCCCAGTGCAAAAACCCCTTCACTAAAATCTATTCTCTCCCTATGAAAGAGTTTGACAATTTGAATAGCAGGTAACCCTCCTCTTATTGCAGGTGTGCACAGCACTCAACCTACTAGCCCTAATGACCCACCAAAATAGCTTGAAAACATTAGAAAAGCAAGACAGCACATCCTCTGTCTGTACTGGGTGGCAATTCATTAGTCTGTGCATCCACAGTCCAGTTACCTGCTTGCAAAATGTCCTGCAGACTTGCATCCAATCAATCAGAGCAGATCACACTAGTGTCAGCCCTCCACTGAAGACAGTACCTCAGTTGTGCGTGCCTACCTTAGTCACTCAGACCTGTTGACTGGAAGTTTCAGAGATAGACTTTTTCCCCCACTAAGTACCCATCTTGAGACCTCATGCCTGTTTTTCAGGCATGCTAAATGCCCACAATTCTGTTCGGAATCCACTGGAGAGCTGGGCATGCCCACATTTTAACCACAAGGACTAAAGCTGTGCATCCAAAAGCTAACTGCTTTGAGAGACCGTATGCAGTGAAACAAGTAGTTATACAGTTGACAAGTTTGTTTTAAGCTTATAGGTAGTAAGGCTAACAATGTTAACACTAAAAGAGAGCAGTCTGATATCAATAATAGCTTGGCGGCCTTTTGTAGAACAAGGGAACAACTTTAAGAGGTTAGTCCTATACCCTTAGCAAGAAATTCATCCTTGAAACATTATTCATCGTTTTTTCAGTTTAGCTTTAACATCATTCTGTAGATACTCATCATGTCCATTTGTTGAGCCTGAACACAAGTACCAGTTTCACTATTAGTTGCACTGTGGTTAGAACCATTTGACCTTGTAGCAGAGATGAAACCTGCCTAGGTTTTTAAGCCATGTCAGTAGTGCTGTTTCCCTTGGCACATCCCTGTGTATGGGACAACAAAAACCCACAAACATCAACTGTTGCATATGAAACATGAGAAGCACATTAGGCACTAGTGTTATAAACAATGATACAATGAGTCAGACCACAAGTTGCATTCACACTGGGGCAAGAGTCACTTGAACAACACTGCTGCAGTTTCAAAATCCAGTACCGAGATTACTAGAAGTAACTGCTCCCACTACTACCCCTAAAATCTTCCGCTGATGTATCATTTGTTAGAATCCAGCTTCAGAAAATTTATATTTAACATTTCAGCCCTGTCATGCCTGTTTTATAGCAAGAGATTAACAATTAACTACAGTTAACTCTAGAATTCAAGTCCATTTGTTCCCTCATAATGGACGTGTCAAAACGCTAGTTTTGCTCATTAATGGGACATTATGGGGTAGGCATTATAATTGGAATTGCTGAAACAGCCATAAAACCAACTGAATGCAGAGAGGCCAGTTGTACTTCATTTTATGTACCAAAGCCTCCTAGAGTCATTAGGGACCTACTTCACCTGGCTGAGGCTGGAGCCTACAGGAAATTTAATATCTTTTACTTCTTTCTTGTTCGTTTGCCATGGCAACAGGAATCTAATGAGATCTTTCCAGGAATCCAGCTTCTTCTAAAATCTTGCCTCAAGATAATATGCAAAACAATCTTTAACTGCCCATTACCTTTAACCACAAGACTAGTTTGTCCAAGTTATAAAGACCATCCATGATGCTTCTCATTAGCAAGCAAAATTCTCTGCTCCAAGGAGTTTTTAAGCTTCTAGATAGGGCTCACATTCCTAGATAGGGAAACATTCCTTTCAGAGGGCAAACCAGAGCCTTTCATGGCTGACACACCCATCTCCTTGCCTGATCCCAAAGGTTACAGAGGCCATTGCTGGCCACTCATTCACATCTGTTACTAGTCTTCAGTTGTTTTACTCTTGTCTAGGCAGTACTATAGAGCATGGCTGATGAAGTGACAAGACAGGGAACAGCAATGTAGAACTAAATTGTTACACAAACGCAGCCACCTTCAACATGGAAAAATGGAGAAACAGAAGTCAGAATGAATTATTACTGGGAAGAGGGAATTCAGAGAAAAGTCAGAATCTGGGCGCACAACTTGGGAGGGAGAAGTAGAGGTGCAAAGCAAAAGCCAAGAAGGTAGACTGGTACAAAAGTACCAACTTATAAAGCAGAAAGTGCCCTCTTCTCCCCAGCTTCTCCCTCCACCAAACCAGCTTGCAGATATTCCTTGAACACTCAGGAATAGGTTTAGTTCCTACTAGTTTAGTAGTGTGTTGACAAAACTTAACTAGAATGGTTCAGTTAATCCAGGGGTTCAACTGGGAGGTTGTTGACTTCCCCTCAGGAGTGCAATGACACGGGCACTGCTACCACAGAAGTGGCCAGGTAAAACTGCCCAACAGGCAGGGCTGTGGCATGCACACACTCCTGCTGCAGTAGGACTCCGATATCCCTAAAGCAACTGGAGCTGTAGCCCTTCCTGGTCCAGTCCCTCCATGTTCCTTCTGGAAAAAAGGAGATTTACAGGACATTCCACCAATGCACTTCTCTTTTCAGAAGGAGAACTGGAGGAAGAAGGGCTACAACCCACGCCAGCTTCATCTGCATTAAGGTTATCAAAGAA